TCCCATTGGTTTCAGCTTGATGAAAAGGGGGTTGTATTCACCCCCTATGGGACAATCGTTGTGGAAAAAAATATCTTCGTATGTCAAAAACAAAAATAAAAAATACGTGTTCAAGCATTTTGTCGTGAAACCAGTGGTTTCTTAAATAAAAAATATTTCAATATTGAAAGGGTGGTTACAACCCCTTTAAATTCAAGTTTTATAAAATTCTTTCTTATTGCTCGCCTACTTTGTATAAGAAACCTTTGTGCAAAATTTTGAGTCTCTAGACCCAGAGGTTTAAGCTGTGCATTGATATGTACCTATATCCGTCACTTACAGTCACTTTCACAGACATTTTTTTAAGTGTCCATTAATTAAAGGACAATTAAATTTAAAGGTGCCATTTATTTGACGTGACGTACAGGTCATCAGTGACAATCAGTTTTAAAATGGTACTTAGAAGACCCTTAACCTAACGGTCGCTTAAAAAAAATTTGAGGCTGTTAGTGTGAGACAGTTTATTCTATTATATAAGTAGATTTCACATTACGTTTAGAGCCAAAAATCTGTTATTTTGAACAGATTAGCAAAAACTAGCAGTCAGTTTTAACACAGTTAATAAGATTAAGCATTGATAAATAAGACAGTGAAAAGTATTGAGCTTAATACGCATTAATAGTGTACCAAATGCTTAACGGAATGAACGCTTAATTTTTTCTTTTTTCATTTTGAACAATAGAAAACAAAACCAATAAAAGTTGATATATGCATTTTTAAAATACTACTAAGTAAAATATTATATTATTCTACATACATGAAGGTACACAATCCATGTTTCACTTTTCGCAAAAAAATATTGGAAACACAATAAAACCAAACGTCATTAGTAACGAAAATTTAAGTAATGACAGCCAGCATAACAAAGGTCTCGCCAAGGCTAACTTTGGATCAACGTAACTAGAGAATACGGTGAAAATTTATAATAATTTTTTTTTAGCTTATAGATAGATATGTTGCCTTTCATTTCAAATATTAATTATGAGAATATTGCTCATTTCAGAATTTTAAATTTTGGCCACAAATTTGGAAAAAATCCCCTCTGTAAATCATTTTTTTAACATATATTTTTGTGCGCGCTTAAAAAAACTTTTACTGAAAATCACATGAATTTGGTTAGGTAAACCATTAAACATTTAAATGGTTTAAGTCTTTTCTAAACAGACATAAATCATTTAAAATATTTAAGCCTTTTTATGAGTTAAATCTTCCTATTTCAGAATAATGATTTTAAACCACAGTTCATTTTGAAAATTACTTAAATCTTAAATCACCTTTCGAAATATTACTTAAGTCATTAAAACAATTTAAGATTACAGCTGGGGTTGGAACCTTTGATGTTACAGCAGCAAAGGACTGTAAGGCGGTTTACTTTTCGACTGGGCGAGTGGTTTGCTAACCATGTTAGCATCATCAACAGATGATTAAAACTAAACTAATATCTACACAGTGGCGGATACAGAGGGGGGGGCTATGGGGCCCGGGCACCCCCTAAAACCTGTAAATTGTGTTAAATATTAGGCTTTTTTGTTAAAAATTACGCCCTAAAAAGCATATTCTACATTACTTTTTATTTTGGCCCCCCCCCCTAAAATAAATTCCTGTATCCGCCCCTGTATCTACAAATTGAGTTTGTATAGGCGCTCAGTTAGTACTGACCAAGCATGGCAAAACCAGCCAAGCCAGTCAAAACCAATAAAGCGTAACAACACGGACTAACCTAAAGTAACAATTAATTTCCGAGACTAGAGCAATAGGGAACAGTGAATTTGAAGGAATTGGATCAATATCTCTGTTCATAATATTATCGTTACATTTATTAATTTTGACGCTTTCATATGCATATAATTACCTCTAATTTGAGAAACCACGAGAAAACTCTCTATCAAACGGTATTGAAATATATTTTGACGCATCTTTCTCCACTTGAAAAGTCGATTTTGCAGAAATCGCAAAGTTATACCTACGTTTTCTAATTATGTTATCAACTAATGAAAGTATATAATGATATAAAATATAAATGAATATCCATTCATTACACTCAGCTACATTCCTAATGTAATTTCTTTCTATTTCATATCTTTATTTCATATCATTATGATATGAATCTTATTTGAATATATGAAAAATATTATTTCATTTCACACAAACCGGGCACGAGTTATAACTCATCATCGCTCAGAGTCCTGTTAATAACCCCGCGACAATCCGAAGATCGTTCTTACTTAAATCAAGGAAAATCATTAATTTTTCTTGGTCGTAAGTCTTGAGAAATTTCTTCGAGTGTCTTAGATCGTTGGAGGATGGTTTCTTCGGATAAAGTCTTCCAGGTTCTCGAGTTCCGCTTTAAGTTGATTTCCACTTGCGGAAAACAGAACGGTTCTGAACCTGTAAGAGTGTTTGCTCCTTTTCTAGCTAGATCGTTTGCTTTTTCATTGCCTTCTATTCCTTTGTGAGCTGGCACCGCCGAGAGTAGGAGGATTTTTTTTTTATTTGTCTAATTTGTTAAGCTTCTCTAAGCATTCTTTGACCAACTTCGAATTGATGGTAACTGAGTTGATAGCTTTTAGTGCTGCTTTACTATCGGAATACTACAAAATATGTTTGAAAGATAAGGTATTTCAAATTATTATTAATATTCGTAGGTATCAGTATTTTATCCATATCAACTCCGAACAGCGAAACTGATCATCCGATAAAAACAAAAACGTGTCGCTTACAGCAATTCAATAAACAACAGTCGACAAACGATAAAAAACGACGCTACGCTATATGCTATAACAATACATCACCTAGGGCAAGGTTTTCGAGCCGAAAGCCCGCGTCTATGCAGCTTCTCGAAAGCAAACCAAAGCGAAGCCATCACGGACGCGCCGAGAAGCGGTAGCGCGTAATTGGACTTCCGCTACACCGTGGGAATCGGAGGCAGGTGCTTTTATCTACCTGTCTGTCTCCTCTTAATTGTTCCGTAGATGATCTTCGTGCTCTTGCGCCCGAAGCATGCAGGTCGTGTGTTACCGCTCGTATAATTTCTACGCAGTCACTTTAAACATATACATGCGTTGACCTTCCAGGTATTTTACTGCAGCATGCAGCTATATTTTTAATGCGTTTCTATAGGGACGGAATTAGAGATGGAGGAATTAATTATTTAAAACAAAATTATAAATTTGTTCAAGCCTAACTCTAAATTAGGGTGAATTCAGAAATCCGGACAAATGAACTCTGAAATCCGGACAGGTTTCCCGGAGGCTTTTGTAAATCGGTCCGGCCCGGATTCGGATTGCCCCGGATACTTTAAAAATCCGGACATGTCCGGGTAAATCCGGACGTATGGAAACCCCACTCTATACAAGTATTCGTAGTCGACAAAAACCAAAAAAACAAGAATAATCCAGCAATTCCCAAAAGGGTACAATTATTTCAATTTTTAAACTGTTATTAATTAGCTAACTCTCTAATTTTTTACTTATTTGGAAAAAGGTAAATAGAAAACTTCTTTATCGAGATCTACTGTAGCTTGAATATATTTGAACTGTACATAATATAAAACTAAACTAACAAGTTCTAAAAAAAATTCGGAACAATCATCACATTCACAAATTTCTTAATGTTACTATATTAGATTAATATATTTAATTAAAAAACATCTAAAAGTAGATTCAAAGAAAGCTAAAACCCTGTTATGAAAAAGTCATAAACTTATAAAATGTAACATTGCTTTATGCAGATTGCACAATCTTATGTTTTAATATAAAAAAGTATAAAAAATATAGGTAAGAAAGTTAAACTAGTTTTAAACTATATTTTTAGGTCTGAACAGTTTTAATATAATAATAATCTCCAATGTGATGATTTAGAAAACCCTTTATTAATACTTCATTTAAATACTCGATTAAATAAAATTGAACCCTCACTTGACGAATTTAAGCAGGTTCAACTTGAAATTGAAAAGGTTTGCTTAAATAACGAATTTGAGGAAGCACAATTTCAAGACGCCGAGCGCGAATCGTTTGAAAATTTATATTTTTCCTGCATTTCAAGTGCAAAATTAATCATACAAAAAATTAATACAGCACAGGCCTCTCTAAGTGCACCCTCTACCAGCTCGTTAGTGCATGTATTACCATCAAATCTGCCTTCAGCATATAACCAATACGGTGTGCGTCTTCCTCCAATCCCACTGCCTCATTTCAATGGTTCATACGAAAATTGGACCAATTTTAAAGAAACTTTTATTACACTTATAGAAAAAAATCCTCAAATTAATAAAATAGAAAAATTTTATTATCTTAAATCTAGTTTACAGGGTGAAGCCTCAAAAATAATTAGCTCGTTAGCTACAACTGAAGGCAATTATTCAACTGCCTGGTCCCTTCTACAGGAGAGGTACGAGAATAAAAAAGCCATAGTTCATTCTCATATTAAAGGTATTTTCAAACCTAGCCAGGTAAAATACGATTCCCACATTAATTTAAGGAAACTTCTCGACGGTTTTCAAAATAACTTTAAATCTTTGCAAAATTTAAATGAACCAGTAGAAGAGTGGAGTAGTATATTAATCTATTTACTTACCTTAAAACTAGACTATAATAGTCGCAAAGAATGGGAACTTTTCTCACAAAATATTGATAATCCGTTAGTCCAAGACTTTACCTCCTCCTTGTCCCAACGTTGTCGTTTTCTTGAATTTCTCGATTATAAGGTAAACACTAAAAAACCCTTTGTACCGAATAAATCTGAAAAATATGAACGTAAAGCCTTACTTACCCATACTAAAAATACTTTTTCTTGTCCGCTTTGTAAAGGTACTCACTTTATTTATTCTTGTAAAAAATTCATTGAATTACCAGTGAGTAATAGATTCTCTGAAGCAAAGCGTGCAAACCTCTGCATCAACTGTCTTCGTCCGGGCCACCGCCAAGGTGACTGAAAATCTACTTATACTTGCAAAACTTGCCATGGTAAGCATCACTCTCTGTTGCATAAGCAATCATCTAGTGCCCATGCTACTAGTCATAACAATCCTCAGTCTAGCGCCCATGCTAGGCACTTATTATAATCCTTACTCTAGCGCCCATGCTAACACTCAAAATATTTCTCACTCTAGCGCCCATGCTAACACTCAAAATATTTCTATACCTAGCGCCCATGCTAACATTCACACTAACAAAAACACTAGGAGTGAAGACTCTTCTATTCAACCATATGAAGGTACTAATTTTCCTAACCCAAATAACCACTCTCAAAACTTATATTGTTCTAATACAAACCAGGATACTTTTGTCCTACTTTCCACCGCCTTTATCGAAGTCCTTGACAAAAACCATAAGCCTATAAAATGCAAGGCAATTCCCGACAATGGGAGCCAATCCAATTTTATAACTAGGGACTTATTCCAAAAATTAAACTTACCCTTTCAAACTATTAAAATGTTCGTCTCAGGAATAAGCGAAAATTGTACCAATATTTCAAAGCGTACCGAACTAAAAATAAAATCAATACATGGTAGTTTTTCTCTCAATATACCAGCCTTGGTAATTAATAAAATAACTGAAAAACTTCCACCTTTCTCCTTAAATGCTTCAAACTTGACATTACCAGCCAATATTCAATTAGCCGACCCTGAATTTTTCAAACCTGCCGAAATAGATATACTTCTAGGCGCCAGTGTTTTTTATGATCTTCTTAATGCAAGCCAAATCAAATTGGGAAAAAATAATCCTGTCCTTCAAGATACCAAACTAGAATGGCTAGTAAGTGGCCCTATTAACTTACTGCCTTCAAATCCTCAGCATACAAACTCTTTAAAATGCACTGATCTTAACAATGATCTTCAAAATAGCTTGCAACTCTTTTGGAACTCTCAGGAAACTACTGAGCAAATGCCCAAAACCCAATACTCACTTGAGGATACCGAATGTGAAAACCATTTCAAGGCCACCACCCGTCGTGATTCTTTTGGAAAATTTATTGTAAGCCTTCCTCTCAAAACAAATGTGTCTAAGCTTGGAGACTCTTTCCAAATAGCCCTAAAGCGTTTTTACAACCTCGAACAAAAGCTTAATAAAAATCCCAATCTAAAGCAATCCTATTGTGACTTCATCTCTGAATATAAGACCCTCGGACATATGTCTGAAATCGTCTCCAATAGCATTGAAAACCCCCTTTCGTATCCTCCATATTATTTGCCGCACCATTGCGTAGAAAAGAGTGATAGCCTTACTACCCGCCTCAGGGTGGTCTTTGATGGTTCAGCCTCTTCCTCTTCTGGAATATCGATTAATGATTGCCTAAAAATTGGATCCACTGTCCAGAATGATTTCGTATTAACGGGAGATATCGCCAAGATGTATCGACAGTTTATGATCGAACCTAACCAACGCTGTCTTCAACGAATTCTATGGCGTGACAACCTTCAAGAAAATATAATTCATTTTGAGTTAAACACAGTCACTTATGGCATGTCAAGTAGTGCATTTTTAGCCACACGGTGCCTTGGCCAAATTTCCAGTGATATTCAAGATTCTCATCCTGTAGAAAGTCAAGTAATAAAATATGATACTTACGTTGATAATATAATCACCGGCGCCTCCGATGAAGAAGCTCTTTTAAATAACCTCATAGAAATAATCAAGTTATACGGTCTTGACTTAAGAAAATTTTCTTCAAATAGCCAATTTATTTTGTCAGATCTAACGGAACCTTCTGCTCAATTAAAAACCCTAATTCTTGACGATTCTCAAAGCCATAAAACTTTAGCTATATCTTGGAATTCAAAACAAGATACTTTTTTCTATGATTCTCAGATTGATCTCCATCCTAAATATGTAACCAAACGTGTCATACTTTCTCGTATCTCTCAAGTTTTTGACCCCCTTGGTTTTTTAGGCCCCATGGTTCTACAAGTCAAAATTCTCCTACAAAAATTATGGCTATTAAAAATAGACTGGGACGATCCAGTACCCACAAACATCCTCCACATATGGAAAAATGTCACTTACCACTTATCACAAATAAATTATTTTGAAATTCCCCGCCAAGTCACTATAAAAAATTTTGTTCTTCTTGAATTTCACGGGTTTTGTGACTCTTCTATTAATGCTTTCGGCGCCTGTATATATGTCCGATCCACAGATTATTTTGGCAATATTGCTGTTAACCTGTTAGTTTCTAAAAGCCGCGTAGCCCCCTTAAAGGCCGTAAGCCTATCGCGCCTTGAGCTATGCGGAGCCCTGCTTTTATCTCGACTTATGAAAAAGGTCCTCAAAGCTTTTAACTTTCAACCAAACAAAATTTGCTATTATCCTGATTCAACTGTTGTCCTCTGTTGGCTTTCTTTAGAACCTAGGCAATTAAAATCATACGTTTGCAACAGAGTGTCAGAAATACAACAACTCACTGACACAAACTCCTGGTTCATATAGTTTCTCCGGAAAACCCAGCGGATATTATATCCAGGGGCATGAATCCCCAAGATCTCAAGGCCTGACCTCTTTGGTGGCATGGGCCTACATTTTTATCCCAGCATGAGGAGTATTGGCCTAGCAATACTAATATCTCTAATTTTAAACGCAAAAGCTTAGATTCTGAAACTCTAGAATTAAATCCAAAATCTGTTATACTTACCTCTACACTTTCAAACTTTTCCATACTTAAAAAGTTTTCCAATTTTGACAAATTAATTAACGTTACTGCTTACTGTCTCAGATTTATTCGAAACTTAAAATTAACTAAACTTAACCGTCAAGTAGGACAACTTACCGTACATCAACGTGAAGGCGCTTTAACCACCCTAATCACTATAGTCCAAGGTGAGGCATTCCTTAAGGACCTAAAACAATTAAAAAATAAATAAAGGTTTTTTAACCCTTCAAAGTAAATTAAAATTTTTAAATCCATTCATTGACAAAACCGGAATTTTGCGAGTCGGCGGCAGACTGACATATTCGAATCTTGACTATAATACAAAACATCCAATACTTTTGCCAAAAGGCCAGACTTTTACTCGATTAATCATAACACACATACACCAATTAAATTTCCATCCTGAAATACAATCCACCCTTTCATTTGTTAGACAAAAATACTAGCCCATTCAGGGAAAATCCTCAGTAAAATCTGTCATCCACAAATGTTTAACTTGCTATAAACAAAACCCGAAAACTTTAAATACCCTTATGGGAGACTTACCTCAACCAAGAGTCCATCCCTCTCGACCATTTTTTCATACTGCCATGGATTATGCGGGTTTTTTCATGCTAAAAGAATCAAAATTGCGTAACCGAAAATTGATAAAGGCTTACTTGTGCTTATTTGTTTGTCTAGCTACCAGAGCTGTGCATTTAGAGGTGGTCACAGACCTTTCCTCGCAAGGGTTTTTGGCAATGCTTAAACGATTCGTTGCCCGCCGCGGTTTATGTCAACATTTGTACTCCGACAATGGAACCAATTTTATTGGAGCGAGCGGTGAGCTACAAGAAATTTATAAACTATCTAAATCTAACGAATTTAAAACTTATGCCAAAAATAATATGATCTACTTTCATTTTATACCTGCTGGCTCTTCGCATTTTGGAGGTTTATGGGAGAGTGCGGTTAAGTCTTTTAAGCACCACTTGCGGCGTATGGTTTCTGAGAAAAAAACCCTCACTTATGAAGAGTTTTACACCTTCGTGGTTCAGGTGGAGGCGGTCTTGAACTCCCGTCCTCTCTTGCCTATGACTGACGACCCGAACGATCTGGAAACGCTTACCCCTGGCCATTTCCTGATTGGTCATCCCCTTAACCTCGTACCCGACCTTGATCTTCAATCAACACCGATGAACCGCCTTACGAGATACCAAATATTGCAATCCATGGTTCAACATCTTTGGCGCAGATGGTCCACTCAGTATCTACATACTCTTCACGAGCGCTCTAAATGGCAATTCAAAACCAATACAGAAAATCTCCTAGGATCATTAGTGCTCCTGAAGGACGAAAATAATCCTCCCTCCAAATGGTCGATAGCCCGAATCGTCGCTTTACACCCTGGAAAGGATGACATCACACGTGTTGTTATTGTACGCACCTCAAATTGTAACATTTTAAAACGCAGCATAGTAATTTGTGGTTAAAGTGTGTCTTCTTCCTATGTCGGACGATTTCAAGGACTAAATTCAAAAGACAAAGGACTAAATAATTAATTACCTGTTTAGCTCATGCTTATAATTTTTTAGATTATAAAACTTACTTATTTATCTTGAAAGCAACTTGTAAACTTTTTTCCTGTATGTTAATACTTAATTACTGTTAATATGCTTTACTTAAAATTTTAAATAAGTTTTTTGTGTTAACTAAACTATTTATAATATTTTTGTATTTAGGTTTTTGTTGAAAGATACCGTAGTACTTTCAAGGGCGGCGTTATGAACAGTTTTATTTGTATCTATTTTTATTTACACCTGCTCACTACTACCCCCTGTACTATTTGTAAATGTTTGATCTCCTCGACAACGAGAAAACAAAAAATAATACTTTTATAATAATTTGTAAAAATAACTTGTCAGAATTATCCTTTATAAAATTCTTTTAAAATCGATGTAAGAACCTTTTGCCATCAAGGCCTTGTAAAACTATAAATCAATTACAGTCCATTAAATAACAATTCAAAATTTAAACAAGTGCATCCATCATAAACCCGGCAGGCATAGAAGATTCTCATTCCAAGCCTTTTTGGAAACAGAGAAAACTATACTCCAAGGTCTAAATAAAAGATGATACATATTAAATTTTTGTGCCTAAATTAAAAGGGTTTATACATATAATAGCCACATATACAATGGTAAAAATTAAGATTACATACAAAACAAGTGCATAAAAATGAGGTAAACCGCAATTTAAAATTTAAACCATTTTCTGCGGTTTAAACTTCAACTGGTGGATAGGCTCAGATTAAACTGCAACCTGAAGATTCGAGCATTACGCTTTAAACTGGATATTTTTTCGTTTAATTATTAAATGTCAGTTTAATAACGTTTTAGGAAAGTCACTTTATAAGCTGAAGGACATCCTATACTTCTTTAGTTGACGCATCTCTTACTAAAGGGAAATTAAAACAACGTTGCACGTCATCAATTATGCGTCGTCTTATGGAGTTTGCTGGTGGTCGTATTATGATGTGCAACCAGAGTTATTTTAATTTCCTATAAAATTTAGTACTGATTCTAAACCTACAGTTGTGGGTGTTGCATATTCTGATGTATTTCTGGGAATTTAAAATATGTTAATATTTAAACAAACATTTCTGGCTTTTCTGACAGGAGTGTGAACACAAATTTGATAAAGGTATAATGTGGATAAAGTTCTAATTAGTATAGTTTGCATCGATGACTATTTTTGTATGTTGTTATTTTTAATAAAGTATATTTAATAAGTTTTTAGGTATTTATTTTTCCCTCAGAGGATTGTGTTTTAATTTTTATATGTAAATTTTCAAAATTATATCTACAAAATGTATTACCTTATAACTTTTTGCTAAAGACTTTGTAGTTGATATATATATACAGTATAACAGAACTATTTAAATAATATTTTTAATAAAATATATAGCTGATTTTGCACACATATCAATTGAATTTGTGATTAACTATACTGAAATAAAAACATAAATTAAGATAAGGTGCGATCTATCAACTATGACATTAAACCCATCATCATTTCCAAGTTCTATTAATTTCACTTATTAAACAACTATACCTAATTATTCAATAATCCTGATAATTTTAGGAACTCCCCCCGAATATCGTTAAAACATGAAAACAAAAATTCACTTCCTATAGTTCTTACGTCCCTAACTTCAGGACAATGTTTCTGTCAATGTTAGACATGGTTTATTTTTGATCTCGAAAACTATTACAGATTGATATGGGGTCTTTAGTTAATATTCGGTGATATGGACTAGTATAATAAATAAATTATGAGATATGAAAGTAGTTTCGAAAAATGTCATAATATACATAGGTACTAAGTGTTTCCTTTCAAATAACAAAGATACTAGACTACTATTTTTAATATGAAGCGGCAACACTGTAATGCTGAAAACAATTTAGACAGATAGCACAGATGCCGTTATGCAAAAATTGAAACATTCAAAAAAATCCTATCACCGGTTCTCCATAAAGGTCTAACGTACCATGGCCGTGAATCACTTTGTATGTTGCTATAGTATCTACATAAACCAAAATTGAAGAGGAAATAAAATTCAAAAAGTTGTAGAAAAAAGGAGGCATTTCATTTACGATGCGCTGCCGAGTTCTAGGACGGTTCAGAATCGGAAATAAGAATCCGAACAAAGCTACAGTCTCTTCTGGCTCTCTATCTAAATCAAATTCTGGAGCGAGTTCTAAGGAGGTCGAGATAATTCAATCTGCCCAATCTGCATTAGATTCACTATTTGTTCTTGTCTTCTGATTTTTGTCCTGTTACCTGTTACCGATATAGGGTATCTCTTATACAATTAAGAGACCAGATTAAGACAAATCTATCGACACCGCACACCTTATATGTTATATGTTAAAATCCACCGAAAGCAGGTTGAGCTACAGCGCGTGCCAAAGAAATTTACATACATTATAGAATCGAAAAGCAGCAAGATAAACATTAATTTGGACTATTCCAAATTCGCATCAGTTATAGTATTCTAAATTAGCAACAAGATGACTCTGCGCCCATAATCCGTAAAAAATATTTATGTACTAACATATCGAAAAAATGCATTTAACAAATTAAAATATAAACGAATACTTACCTAAGACGCAATCAAAGTTAATTTAAATGAAAAATCAGGGCAATGATTGCCGATTAAAAGTTTTTGTCACGTCACAAATTATTTGTTCACATATTTTTGCTCTGTACTTCAAATTTAAATAAATACAAATTCTTCTGACCACTAAATACAGCCGAACTAGTAGTTTATACCATATTTAAACAGATAGCGCCACGCAAGATAGAATGTGAGTATTCCAAATTACCAACAGTATTCCGAATTACCCTCATTTCCTCTACCTGATTTTTAAATAAAATTAATAAAAAAACTTCCGTTTTTATTCGTTGACTTTCAGTTTTGTTTTAAATAATTTTTTGCTCGGCATAATTAAGCATTCATATTTTTGCAGATTAATAAAATAACAAATCTCATCCGGTTGTCCCCGCTGAAACGATATCTATCAGGTTTTTAATAATATGCATCGAAACCGATTAGGTGTCTTTTTGTAGTACGTTGCCTTTAAATAAATTATACGGTGCCGATGCTAATTATTTTCCTTCCCATTAATTCGACTTTATTTTAATATTAATGGCGATCGCGTTAAAACGGCGCCCGATAGCCAGACGGCGCTTGGCGATAATCGCGAAGCCGATCGCCAATAAGAGAATGACGGATGAATAGGAAATTATTAATTAACTGAACGAGAATTGAG